TATACGAAACTTTTTCATTGTGGTTTTCAATGTACAGAACAGAGCATTGTCGATGGACAGCTCCATCTGCCACGCTTTTATCCATCTGTGAACTTCTTCGATAGATTCTTGCAAAGGAGACCTCACAGTGGTTGCATTATAGGTGACGAACAATTTAGCGTCATCAGCATAAAGCGAGCAATGACTACGCACGCATTCTGGTAGATCATTTATATACAATAGGAAAAGTATCGGCCCTAACACTGAGCCTTGAGGAACACCAGATGTTACTGCTGATTCTCTGGACAGACAGTTTTCGACAGCAACACATTGGGTTCGGCCTGTGAGGAAATTTGTAATCCATTTCAGCAGATTTCCACCGATATTATACTGTGATAATTTATGAATAAGTTTTGCATGAGAGACCTTATCGAACGCCTTTGTCAAGTCGAGATATAACACATCCGTGCAGAGATTTGAATTGTAACAATGGAAGCAAGATGATAGCGTTGAAAGCTATTGGGAACAAGTTGATCTTTTAGATCTGAACCCAAGCTGGGAGTCTGAGATGAGTGAATATTGTTTAGCATGAAAAAGTATTCCTGTCCTGATGATTGATTCCATGACTTTGCACACATTACTTGTCAGAGATATTGGCCGATAATTTGTTGGGTTTTCTCGTCCTCCTTTCTTATGCATTGGAACAATAATAGCTTTCTCCCATACAGATGGTATTTCGCCAGTTGTAATCGAAGCTTTATAAATTAAAGACAATGGATATGCAATAGCAGTAGCAACGTTTCTTAGGAACAGAGCGGGGAGATTGTCTGGGGTCCGAGAGAGTTTGCTGGGTAACTGAGATAGATACTTTTCAACAATGAAAGGGTCAAAATCTNTGAGAGACTTGGTAATGAACCATCATCCTGAACGAACACTTCACTGAAATAGTTATTCAATATTTCACACTGTCCTTCGTTATCGTAGCACATTATTCCGTCCAGGCTTTTAATGGCTGCCGGCTGAGTGGTTGTTTTGAGCTCTCTTTTGACGTATTTATAAAATGATTGCACCGTACCCTTTTCGATCAGTTTACGTTCCTTTTGTTTAACATACACTCTAATGGCCTTCTTGCAGACGTCCTTTAGTCTCTTGTACTCGATGCTGTTTCCTGTTAGTCTCCAAAGATTTTTTTTCTATGAAAAATTTTTTAATGTGATTTGGGTACTGTCTTTTGTAACATTTGCTCCATTATAGCATTTTTCTACATTAAGACAGTGGAATTTTGAAGACCAGTCTATATTTGATATAATATAATTAGCTGTGGTGAAATCGCTGCAACGGAAATTTCTGAAAGAAGTGTCAGTGGAACGAGGTTTTTGGATATTAAGTTTGAAAAACACAGCACAGTGATCGCTGAAAGGTTCACGTACTTTGACATCAGAAACAGCATCGTTATGATTACAGAAAATAAGGTCGAGGATACTGTTTCCCCGCGTGGGTGAGTTGACCAATTGTGTCAGTGAGTTTGTTTGTGCAAAGTGCAGTACTTTTCTACAGTTATAATCTGCTGCGGTGTTATCATTCCAATTTATGTGAGGTGCGTTAAAATCTCCGAGAACGATGGATGGATATTGAGAAGCATTAATATAATCAGTAATGGAGTCAGAAAGATAATCATATGGAACATTATTGTGATTTGGGTGATAATGGTTCTAATCCTCGAGGATGATGATGCGGAGAAAAGTCAACGATTATATATATGTTCATTGTGGCTGGTGTCATGTGACTGAGCCATGCAGGCAGCTTGAATTCGCTTACGAGAAAGTATGCAAACGCCGCCACCATCGCGACCTTTTCTGTAACAACGAAATACATTATACATAGCGTCAGTGATATTTACATTACACCAAGTTTCTGTTAAGAACAATAAATCTAACTCATTTTGAAATGCAAAAAATTCTAATATATCAATGTTGTTTCTAATCGATTGGCAATTCAATAAAGCGCACTTCACATTCGAACCTACTTCTGGTTGCTTTTGGGTGTTCCGCGACGGGTTTCGTATGGCTGTCGGTTTTGCTTGATCTCGACCAGCTTTACATCGTCCAACGCGATCCAACGCATCACACCTTCTTTCGCGTTTCGCTCCAGCGCCGTTTTCCGTAGATTTCGGTACATTTCTAGAATTGGCTCCGAATAATCCAGACGAGCCTTGCAATTTTTTAGGTCTTCCCGAGTGTTGCGAAACTTTCTGAAATGTTGCACGAGAGTCTTGGAAGTTTCGAGAAAGTCGGCCTCGATTTTCAATGGTCTTGGTCGATCCGATACTTTCCGGTCAATGCGAAAAACCTTCTTCACAGAATTTCGTTTGACGCTTGCAGAAATTGCTAAGTCATTTGCAATAGTGGCGTCGAATTTTTCAGTAGCAGTGTCAGAATTTTGCTCAGGAATATTATGAATCAGCAAGCATTTCTGGCGTGATTGGTTTATGCGGTCTTCTTCAATAGCCTTTACATGGATGGCAATAGCCACAGGATCAGGAGATGAAGATGAAGATGATGAGGCAACACTTGCGTACGAACAGGCTTTTGCTGATTTTGCGGGGTAGTCTCTTTAGGCGAATTTACGAGGTGATCTTCAATTAATTTCGGATGGAGTTCAATCTTCTCCAAGCGATCATCGAATGCAGTTATTTCTGTTTGAAGGGGGGAAAGTGCCTTTCCCATAGCGATAGTAACAATTTGAGCAATTTCATCAAGAGACAAGTTGGGCATGGTTGAATGGATAGATGCAAATGAGAGAGAAGAAGTTTGACACGACCGCGCTGTGACACGACAAGTAGGGAATTAGTCCTAACGCCTCTTTTTCAATTTGGCTGCAATTTTTTTCAGCAGTATTTTCCCATAAATGCCACATACTGTTCTCAAATTACACGCACCGTCTGCA